ATTTAATTTTAATTTAATTTATTTTTAATTTTATTTGTCGCGCTGCTGATGACGTCACATACGCGCTTTGATCGGGCGCGCTTTAGTGGACCGCAGTTTTGACGGGTCACGCAAATAGCTGCCAAGAAGACAAGGATCATTCTGAAGCTACCATTATAATTAACAGCTATAAGGTACAGAAGCAGATCGTTGTTCACCAAATTGTGCTCCTGGCTACCTCCAAGACACTTCCATGGCAAATGAAAATGTGCAGATTTATTCTCAGCAGGTATAGCTTTTAGGAAATCATTTTGGTAGTCCAAAGCAAAAAAAAAGCAGAGGGTTCCTCCTTAAAATACTTACAGGGTTCTCCTGTCCAGGAGGCCGGGGAATAACAATCCCAGTAACTCGCACAACAGACTCAACTGGAGCATCGGAAAAGAGTTTCCTCAAATGGGAAGCAGCCTACGGTGCAAGAAATAGACAAATCAGAATATGCATAATTCAAGAATGCAAGCAATATGCATTATTAAAATACATTATGTCTGGTAGTTATCAGCTAATTTAGGTCTGGCAATTAAATGGCACCTGAAAGCCCTCCCTTCATCTTTTAATTAACTTTTTATTTTTTTAAACATCCTTGCCTCTTTTTAAATTTTAACTTTTATGTACTGCTTTTATATTTTCATATTTTATTGTACACTACCCAGAATTTCTCTATGAGATGGGTGATTCCAAAATGTGATAAGGAAATAATAAATACTATCTATTAAAGTGTTTATTGAGATAGCTAAAGTGTTGCAGAAATTAAGGTGTCAGACTAGGAGCAGAAAGAACTAGGTTCAAGCTAACCTTAGCCATAGAAGCCAATTCTCTTTCAGCTCAACCTATCTCACCGGGTAGTTAATGAGAAAAAAAGGTGTTATATATGTCACAAGCGCTAAATAAAAGGTGAGATAGAAATCTTTTTTGTTTGAAACATTAATTCCAATGAACTTTTCTGGTTCAGAACGAATTCTATCCTACCCAAAATTCCTTACAAAAAGATGACATCAGGTAGCAGTTGGTAAGAATAAAATCAAAATGCTAATGTGGAAATTAAGTTCTTTTCATTCTAGATGCATGTTTAGATGGAGAAAGACACTTCAGATGTGTTTTGGAATATTATTTATTTCCTTGTAGATTAGAGGACTGAACTTTTAAAAAATGCTATGGACTATAAGCTGTGTGTACAAGTATGGATATTTATAATATTGTCTGTTACAAGGAGTGTGCACTGAAAAATTATAACTCTTTTCTAAATGACTAAATATCATTCAAGAGTCTGTCTTAATTTAATTTCAGAGGCTATTTAAAAGTATGCTTAACTAAATGAATTATATATGAACTGTAACTTAAAAAAGAACAAAATAAAAATTCCAGTAATTTANTATAAATACCATCAACATAAAATGGAGCTTGCTCAGGAGCTGAAATACACCAGGTAAATGAGATGAAGAGTGGGAAGAAAAAGAGAAAGGGAAGGGAAGAGAAGAGGAATAGAAGAGAGGGGAAGGAGGAGGGAAGAGGAGGAGAGAAATGAGGAGCGGAAAGGGGGGAGAGGAGGAGGGAAAAAGAGGAAGTAGAGTAGGGAAGGATGACAGGGGGAGGAAAAAAGGTCGGGAGGGGGAGGAAAGAAAGGGAGATGAAAGAAATGGATAAGGACAAATATGGTATATGGAGAGAAGAAGAGCTAATAATTGTGTTTCGGGAGTTGATGGTAAGATGAATTGATGTAGACATTTGATAATCTAAAAGATGCTGGCTATGTAATAGTATAATGTGATTATATGTTATGAAAATGAAAAAATAAAAAATTCTACCAACAAAAAGAAATAAGAAAGTTATATCTACCTTGGCGAAATCTTTTACTTCAAATGGTAGTTTCTTACAGTAGTTCAGAACCTCTGCAGTTTCTGCTTTTATTTCAATATCTCCAGTTTGCATCTTCTAAACAAATTGAAAGAGATCACTTTAATTAAAAAAAAATAACCACTCTATTTTTATTGTGCCAAGAAAATGGATTCATCCAGATGGTGTGGTGGTAGGATAATTTAGCTTGGCAAAATGCAGACCCTTATTTCCACTTCCCCTTCACATACTTGGAGCTTAAGAAACCAGGAGTTTCTTTGAGCGTCACAGATCAGGAATCTCCTGAATCTCAAGTCAACATCTCTCTGTTTACCCATTTCAATTCACAACTTAATGGGCCAGGCAAAAGCAGGCTTGGGGAAAGGGGAAAAAAAGCATGGTCTTCCTGGCTTGTCTAAATAGCTAAATATCATAACTATTTTTGCAGCATTGTCAGTACTTTGCAGAGAACGACGAAAAAAGATCTCTGCCCTGAAGATAAATTTGTTGGATTACCTGCCCTGAAAATAAATTTGAGGGTGTATGGAAAGAGTGGGATTTGAAGAGAGATGTGAAGAAAGCATAAAAAATGATATATTGTGCAGGTGTATTGCCTGGAAATTCCAAGCACAGACCACATTAAGGCAGAAATTGTGGAGTCTTTTGAGAGGGCAGAGAATTTTTACAGTGCTAAGCTGAAGAATGATACTTCCAAATCAAATAGCGGTTCCACCACAAATCCGCGGTAGACTAAAGCGCGCTCGACGAAAGCGCGTACGTGATGTCATCACAGCACGACGAAAATGGCACGCTGTGAGCGGTAAATTTAAAATTAACGCGAAAACCTTACCCTAAGCCCCCCAAACCTAACCCTAAGCCTAACCCTTAACCTAACCCTTAACCTAACCCTAACCCTTAACCTAAACCTAACCCTAACGCTTAACCTAAACCTAACCCTA